TAAAAAAAAGCTTGTGGCCTGAAAAAACAGCTGTGTGCCTGGAAACACAGCTGTGTGCCTAGAGAAACCAGCTGTGTGCCTAGAAAATAGCTGTGTGCCTAAAGAAACCAGCTGTGTGCCTAAAAAATAGCTGTGACCCTAAAAAATAGCTGTGCCCCTGGAAACACAGCTGTGTGCCTAAAAAATAGCTGTGTGCCTAGAGAAACCAGCTGTGTGCCTAAAAAATAGCTGTGTGCCTAAAGAAACCAGCTGTGTGCCTAAAAAATAGCTGTGTGCCTAAAAACACAGCTGTGACCCTAAAGAAACCAGCTGTATCCCCCCCCAAAAAAAATCTGTGTCCCTAAAAAATAGCTGTCTATAAAAAATAGCTGTGTCCATAAAGAAATAGCTGTGCCCCTAAAGAAATAGCTGTGTCCCTAAAAACACAGCAGTGTGCCTAAAAAATAGCTGTGACCATAAAGAAATAGCTGTGTGTCTAAATAAATAGCTGTGTCCCTAAAAAATAGCTGTGACCATAAAAAAAATAGCTGTGACCATAAAAAAATAGCTGTGTCCATAAAGAATAGCTGTGTCCCTAAAGAAACCAGCTGTATCCCCCCCAAAAAATCTGTGTCCCTAAAAAATAGCTGTGACCCTAAAAATAGCTTTGTCCATAAAGAAATAGCTGTGTCCCCCCAAAAAAACCACTGTGCCCCTAAAGAAATAGATGTGTCCCTAAAAACACAGCCGTGTCCCTAAAGAAATAGATGTGACCCTAAAAAATAGCTGTGACCCTAAAAAATAGCTGTGTCCCCCAAAAAAAACCACTGTGCCCCTAAAGAAACAGCTGTGACCCTAAAGAAACAGATGTGACCCTAAAGAAACAGCTGTGTGCCTAAAAAACAGCTGTGACCCTAAAGAAACAGCTGTGACCCTAACAAAATAGATGTGACCCTAAAGAAACAGCTGTGTCACCACAAAAGCAGTTGTGCCCCCAAGAAGGCAGCTTTTCACCAAAACCCCAGCTACTCCCCCTGAAAAACAGCGTTTCCCCCACAGAACAGCTGGGTTTGTGATTGGTTCCCTGATTCCCTGTTTGGTTCCCTGATTCCCTGTTTGATTCCCTGATTGATTCTCTGATTCCCTGATTGGTTCCCTGATTCCCTGTTTGATTCCCTGATTCCCTGTTTGATTACCCCAATTCCCTGTGTGATTCCCTGATTGATTCTCTGATTCCCTGATTGATTCTCGGATTCCTTGACTCCCTGATCAATTCCCTGATCAATTCCCTGACTCCCTGACTGATTCCCTGATCAATTCCCTGACTGATTCCCTGATTGATCCCCTGACTCCATGGTCAATTCCGTGCCTAAAAAACAGCTGTGATGATCAATTCCCTGATCAATTCCCTGACTGATTCCCTGATTGATCCCCTGACTCTGTGACGAATTCCCTGATTGATCCCTGACTGACTCCCTGATTGATTCCCTGACTCCCTGACTGATTCCCTGATTGATCCCCTGATTGATCCCCTGACTCTGTGATGAATTCCCTGATTGATCCCTGACTGACTCCCTGATAAATTCCCTGATTGATCCCCTGACTCCCTGATCAATGCCCTGATCAATCCCTGATCGATCCCCGATCAATCCCTGATCAATCCCCAATCGATGCCCAATCAATCCCCGATCGATCCCCGATCGATCCCCAATCAATCCCCGATCAATCCCCGATCGATCCCCAATCAATCCCTGACCAATCCCCAATCAATCCCCAATTGATCCCCGATCGATCCCCGCTCCCGCGTTGCCCCCCGCTGCAGGCCATCATCAACAGCACCATCACCCCCAACATGACGTTCACCAAGACGTCGCAGAAGTTCGGGCAGTGGGCCGACAGCAGGGCCAACACCGTCTACGGGCTGGGCTTCGCCTCCGAGCAGCACCTGAGCCAGGTGAGCAGGGGCTGGGCCAGGTGAGACAGGGACCGAACAGGTGAGCCAGGTGAGCAGGGGCTGGGCCAGGTGAGACAGGTGAGACAGGTGAGACAGGGACTGAGCCAGGGGCTGAGCAGGTGAGACAGGGACCTGGGAACTGTCCAGGTGAGCAGGGACTGAGCAGGTGAGCCAGGTGAGCAGGGACTGAGCAGGTGAGACAGGTGAGCAGAGACTGAGCCAGGTGAGCAGGGACCTGGGAACTGTCCAGGTGAACCAGGGACCTGGGCACTGACTCCCTGATCAATGGGGACTGAGCAGGTGAGCAGGGACTGAGCCAGGTGAGACAGGGACCTGGAACGCTCAGCCAGGTGAGCCAGGGACCTGGAACCCTCAGCCAGGTGTGTTTACCAATAAGGTGAGCTCAGGGAACCTGTCCCAGGTGAGCCCAGGAACATGAGCCAGGTGAGTTTAGGAACATGGAAACATGTTCAGGTGAGCCCAGGAACCTGGAAACCCGAGCCAGGTGAGCTCAGAAATCTGGACTGAGCCAGGTGAGACAGGGACCTGGAAACATGTCCAGGTGAGACAGGGACCTGGAACCCTCAGCCAGGTAAGCCCAGAACCTGGAACCCTCAGCCAGGTGTGTTTACCAAGGTGAGCTCAGGGAACCTGTCCCAGGTGAGCCCAGGAACATGAGCCAGGTGAGTTTAGGAACATGGAAACATGTTCAGGTGAGCCCAGGAACCTGGAAACCCGAGCCAGGTGAGCTCAGAAATCTGGAAACCTGTCCCAGGTAGCTCAGGAACCTGTCCCAGGTGAGCTCAGGGAACCCCCCTGGAGAAAAGCCTCCAGGAAATCCTCAGGCACGTGCTGAGGTGCTGCTCTCACCGGGCTGGAATGGAATTCAAGGTGCAAAGGCACCAAAAACAGCTTCAAAGTTGTGTTTGGGTGCCACAAATGGAGCTGCAGGTGCTGCTCCTGTGCTGAACCCACGGCCCTGAGCTCCAAATTCAGATTAAAATCTGAATTTTGCTGTTGGAGAGAAATTAAAAAGCGTTTTTAACGAAGGTGCAGGCAGAGCATGAGCTCTGCTGTGCACAGCCCCAGGGTGACCTTCCCTTCCCTTCCCTTCCCTTCCCTTCCCTTCCCTTCCCTTCCCTTCCCTTCCCTTCCCATTTT